TTACTGTAGATTCATAAGTTCTAAACCGTAGATTCATAATTTAAATACAATAGATTCATAATTTCTATACAATAGATTCATAATTTCTACACTACAAATTCATAATATTGAACTGTAGATTCATAATTTCTGTATTGTTGATTCATAATTTCTAAACTGTATAGTTATCAAATTATGAATATAGGGAATATAAAGAGTTCAACAATAGGGAATATGAACATAGAGTTCTGTAATTGTGAATATATATAAAGTTCAATCATTATGAATATGAATTTCAAAAATTATGAATATATAGTTCAGTAATTATAAACATAGAACAGTGTGCACCATGCATGGTGCACACGGTTGCACAACATAATTTGCCCTTTATTACCCGGGGGGCTTTATTATCCAGACAGTTGGCGGCCCAATTACAAAGATCGCGGCCAAAGAAATGGGCTATAGCTAACTGTACTACATCAACTACTCTTCCATATCCATTCTCCACATGTCTCATGCATGCCGGAAGGGTCGATTACCAACCTATAGCTAACCTTGTTAGTCATGTGCTAGCCGGAAGAGCGTCGATTACCAACCCCCTATCATACCGGCCTTACCCCTCCACACCATACTGCACCATTCTGAACACCACAGTACACCACAACACACCGGGTCGCACCCCCTTAGGACCAGGGGCACGGTTAAAGTGTCCAGGGGCGCACCACCCTGCCCGCCCACGCCATAGACTGAGGTGATCGGCTGGATACGTCGTCGGGCAGTCGCCGGCCGGTCATGACGGTGGTCAAAGCTGCCATCCCGAAGTTATAGGTAAAATATAAGGTGTAACGCTTTAATAAACAAGAGTTGGTATGGCTTGGTGAGTTTAACCTAGCTTGTTTGTTATGTTAGAGATCTCTAGTTTTATTCTTCCTTGTAACATCCTTAACTTATTTTATAAAATTGTTGTCTTGGTTCTTAGAGACAACACAGAAGCAACAACAGCTATATGCTAGATGTCGCGCATGAGTATAAGGGTTGGTGTTGCTCGGTTGGTTAAAGCCTTGTTTGTTATGTTGGATGTTATATGTTTGACTCTTGTTGGTAACATCCTTGCTTTTATTTTATAGAACTGTTGTCTTTTATAAAATAATAATGCCCGTTGTCTTTGTAGTCTTGCGTATTCAAGTACGTTTAAAGACAACATACCAAAGACAACGGTTAAATAAAACCGACAACGGTTTTGTAAAACCTTTGTCCTTGTAGTGTTGTGTATTCAAGTGCTATTAAAGACAACACACAAATGACAACGGTTAAATAAAATCGTTGTCCTTTATAAAATAATATTGCGCAAAGACAGCAGTGCTTTATAATCGTTATCTTTGTAGTGTTGTGTATTCAAGTACGCTAAAAGACAACATACCAAAGACAACGGTTAAATAAAACCGTTGTCTTAAAGAAATAAGAACGCGCAACGATATAAAATTGTTGTCGTTGTAGTGTTGTGTATTCAAGTGCTATTAAAGACAACACACAAATGACAACGGTTAAATAAAACTGTTGTCTTTTAAAAAATAATAATGCGCAAAGTCAACGGTTTTAAAAAACCGTTGTCTTTGTAGTGTTGTTTATTCAAGTACACTTAAAGACAATATATCAAAGACAATAGTTAAATAAAATCGTTGTCTTTTAACAAATAATAATGCGCAAAGACAACGGTTTTAAAAAACCATTGTCTTTGTAGTGCTGTTTATTCAAGTACACTTAAGACAACATATCAAAGACAACGGTTAAATAAAATTGCTGTCTTTAAATTAAAAAAATGCACATAGACAACCCGTTGTTGTTGAAGTGTTGTATTTTCTCAAATTGCACAAAGACAACACACTTATAACAACGGTTAAGTAAAAACCGTTGTCTTTGACAAAAGTGTTGCATCAAAGACAACGGTTTTGGACCAAACTGTTGTCTTTTATACAAAAGACAACACTTTTGTTAAAAACTGTTGTCTTTCTACTGTTGTGTATGTGTATTTTTCTTGTAATGTTAGTTTCAATCCAGGTTATACCCTTGATTTATGTCCGTTTTTTCTATTAATTTTTTTTGTACCTTATGCTATAAAAGTTGTACTACATAATTTTTTGGACAAAAATATCCTTACCGTTATAACTTCTGTTATCTTTCCACATTATTATCACCATGCACATGCATACACAATATTTTTTCCTACATTCTTCAATGGTAAGTTTGATTTTATTTAGATTTTAATTAAATGTTACCATAGTTATATTTAGTAATTTATTATTTCTATAATTCTTACTTCAATAATATAGATATGAATTCTAGGATTATAAATAAATAAATAAATACACACACACACAGGGAACTCTCGGTTTTTTTGCTAGTATATGTTGATGACATCATTATGATGGCAACGATCCAGCATTAATTGATACATTACTACACCGCTTGTCCACTACCTTCAAGATTAGGGACCTTGGTGCCCCGAGCATCTTTTTAGACATTGAAACGCTCAAGGTTAATATCGGGCTTATTCTTTCTCAGCGTCGCTATATGGGCGACATTTTAATCCGAGCAGGAATGTCCGATTGCAAGCCACTCGCAACACCAGCTACAGTCACTCAGGCAGCTACTCCGTCAAGTCATCCGTTTGACAATCCGACTCAGTATCGTCGGATTGTAGGGGCTCTACAGTACCTCACTATCACTCGGCCGGATCTTTCCTATGCGGTAAACCGGTTGTGTCAGTTTATGCATTCTCTCACCGATGATTACTGGGGAGTGGGGACTGCTAAAACGTGTCCTGCAATATGTCAAAGGCACTCAAGACTATGACTTACGCTTGTCAGCTTCATCCTCTTCCGACATTCATGCTTTCTCCGATTCAGACTGGGCTGGCTGTCCGGTTGACAGGAAATCTACCAGTGGTTATGCAGTGTTTCTGGGGTCCAATCTCGTCTAGTGGCTCTCTCGCAAGCAACGCACGGGGGTGGCTCGCTCTTCGACTGAAGCAGAATACAAGGGCCTTGCTGATGTGTCTACCGAGGTCACTTGGGTTGTCTCATTACTCCGAGTGCTCGGTCTCCATTCGGGTAATCCAACAACTTTGTGGTGTGACAATTTGGGTGCCACGTACTTAGCCGCCAACCCGGGTTTCCATGCGTGGACTAAACATGTCGAGATCGATTATCACTTCGTTCGCGACAAGGTAGCATCAGGAGACTTCATTGTTAACTTTGTGTCTACGAAGGATCAGCTGGCCGATATATTCACAAAGTCGCTACCAGCACCGCGCTTTTAGGTTCTTTGGGACAAGCTCAATGGTGTTTCCCTCCAACCTTGTGCTTGAGGGGGTGTGTTAATAATAATATTATAATGTATACTTAATAGACTTGTGGTGGTAGTTTTAGTTGACTTTTCCTAGCCTATTGTATATGAGCCTTTTATGTTAGCTATTCCTATAGGACTCTATTATTGTAACCAATTGGAAATTTAATCCATTCTGAACCTGTAACTCTCATCTATTCTACTACCCTTAGATGTTAGAATATGTGATGACCATCCTCTAGATCGATAATTGAGTATTTGTTAGAGTTGCTCGCACAGGCTTAGCTCACGGGTTCAGTAGACAATATTTGGAAGAAGAGATCAAAGTTTGAACCTCGGCAGCGGCAGTGTGGGGATTATACTCAAAGTAGGCAAATCCCTTGTGCGCACTGACATTTGGCCCTGTTTGCTAAGCCATTGAATCACCGTGATTTACATCCTCCCAAATGCTGGCAAATTTTACTGTGGACCATGGTCCATGTAGTAGTGGGGTCCATGAAGTAAATATCATTCTAATTACACTTCAGTTTCATTTCACAATATTGCTCTATTTTTTAGTTTCATTTTCCACACACACTAGTTCCATTATAGCAATACCAAAGTATCATTTTAATTCAACTACAGTTTCATTTGACAATATACATTATTATATGAGTTCTATTTTGTAGTTTCATTTTCCACATACACTAGTTTAATTATAATAATGCTAAAGTATTATTTTAATTACACTCCACGTTAATTTGACAATATATGTTATTGTATAACTCTGAATTTTAGTTTTATTTTTCACACACACTAGTTTCATTTTAACAACATTAAAGTAGCATTTTAATTATACTACAGTTTCATTTGACAATATACGTTGTTGAATGAGCTCTGTTTTTTTGTTTCATTTTTCACACACACTAGTTTTATTTTAGCAACACTAAAGCATCATTTCAATTCTACTACAGTTTCATTTGACAACCATGGTCCACTGTATAACAATTGTCAAATGCTCAGGCCGGGATGTGGGATGCCTTGGGGTTGGAGATTCAACCTTTTGGGATAAAAGTATTTGTTCGAGTTTAGGTGAGCCTAAGGGTTTGGAACAATTTTGGTGAAAGTGAGAAATAAGTTAAAGCCAAATTAGGGAACTCTGTCACATTTTGTGATATTGAATAATGGCTCATAGCAATTGAGTGTTTCATCATATCCTTCCTCTATAGTCTACACAAATTAAATATGAACTTATGAGCCATACCAAACAGTGTGGACCATCTTAATGGCTCATTGTTCTTCATTCTCATGCCAGCCTCCAAAATCGAATTGCCATAACTGGTCTTTCCAGAACCCAACTACTTGAAAAATGTCATTTTCTCTTACTATATTCATATCTTGATGTGCCGTAAGTTTAGAAAAACATTTACAAGGGAAATGAAATAATATTTTTTAGCTGATAATTGTAAGTTGATTTGGTTAGTGGGTTTAACTAGTTGATAACATTATCAGATGGTAGAAAAGTGTTCAGTAAATTAGTTGTTAGCTGTTAGTTTTTTTTAATTTTAAAATTTTGGAGCAAAAAATTGTTACAAAAAGCTAATTAATCAAACATTCATATCAAGTCAAATTGCTAATAGTGATCAAATAAGCCAAAATTGACTGATAAGCTAATTATTTTACCAAACCGGGCCCAAATCATCACAAAATACAGTCTACACAAATTAGCTCGATCTTTGGCACCCCCAAGTATATAATCATGACGAAATAGAGTATCGTTCTGCTCCATTTGTCTTCCTAGGTTACCCAATCTTAAGATATTGTTGTCAGTTTTCATTGTGAAACTCCCTACTACGTACAGGTCAAAAGATAGTACACTTGAGGGGCTGCCATGTTTACAATTTGGGAACAATTGACAGAGTAAATTCATATAAAATCGAAGATTTTATAAGCTATCAAACTGGGTTGAAGTGGTTAAAGGAGAATTATGCTTGGTTGTCTGTGTATGAGAAGATGATGAAGTATGCGTGTTGTCAGAAACCAATTTTTTAGAGCTATGCGGTGATCTATACACTCCTGGCCCTGTCAAGACATCCTCGTTTAGTTTAACGTCTTTAGACAGCATTTGAATCACTTGTTTCATGTCTGGTCTTTTCTGAGAAGCTGCTTGGGTACAAAAGAGGCCAACTTTGATAAAGCGTGTTACTTCCGCCTCTGGATATTCTCTCAACTCCGGGTCTATGATTTCCACAAGCCTACCTTCTTCTCTCAGCTTCCATGTCTGCAAAAACGTTTTCTGCTATGATTAAGCGCTTACCACTACACCAAAAGTTATATAACAATCACATTTTCGAGAGGTAGGGTGCTGGACTAGCTTGCCCTTTCAGGCTACCGCCCAACAATTCCTCCACAATTAATCCAAAAACAATAGCTAGTAACGAAAACGCAACTTTATTTTCTTAACATTTTTGAGATGCAGGGTGCTAGTCTTGGCCCTTCAAGCCTCTGCCCTACAACCCCTTAGCCACCTGATGCTGGACTTGCCCCTTCAGGCCTCTGCCCTACTATCCCTTAGCCACCTGATGCACGACTTGGCCTTTCAGGCCTCTGTCCTACTATCCCTTAGCCACCTAGTGTTGAACTTGGCTCTTCAGGCCTCTGCCCAACAATTCCTTAGCCACTGGTGCTAGACTTGCCTTTCAGGCCTCTGTCCTACAATCCCTTAGCCACCTGGTGCTGGACTTGACCCTTCAGGCCTCCGCCCAACAATCTCCTAACCACCTGCTGCCACACTTAGCCCTTAACCGGCCTCCGCCCATCGTTTTCATTGTTTCATAAATTGCAGATACAGATGACAAAACAAAATACTCGGCTTTCATATGAAATGCTCATAAAAAATTAAACTTGCATTTGAAGTGAGGCATTATAGAGATTGAGAGGTGAATCTGTTGGAAACATACCCATTCCACCAGAATCAATAGATCTTCACCAAAGGCATCATAGCTACTACTTCTTCCGCTTATTATTTCCAGCACAAGCACCCCGAAACTATATACATCAGCCTTTTTTGTAAGTTGTCCTAACAATGCATATTCAGGAGCAAGGTATCCTCTGCAAAGTATCAGTTTATCGAGAAATTCAACAAAAGGGCTGAAGTAAATTAACATGTTTCATTTGCTTAAGTATTGAAAAAGAGAAGCTACATACTTAATATATATCACAAGAACAGTAGAGAAATACAATGAATGAATGAACACTATACTCACATTGTTCCTGCCACTCGGGTACTGACATGTGTTACATTGTCAGGGAATAGCTTTGCCAGACCGAAATCTCCAATTTTGGGATTAAGATTTCGGTCCAGAAGAATATTACTAGCCTTTATATCTCGGTGCACAATATGGTGCTCAGCTTCTTCATGAAGAAATGCTAGGCCAGAAGCTATTCCCAAACATATAGCAGCCCTCTTAGGCCAATCCATGTAAATGTGTTTGCTGCTGGTACCTGAAATCATAAACCTGTAGTTGTTAGTGTGATCAAAACTGTTCGGATTTTCCCGTATAATATATGTTATATATTAAGACCTTAATTATGTGGTGAAAATTTACTAGACTTATTAAGTAGTTTGCTTGGACTGAATAACTAGAAGTCGTTAGTCAATCAGACTTTGTGTTTAATATAAAGCCTATATTGACATGATATAGCCATATAGAATGTACAATATATAGCACATCAATACTCATGCTGCTCATAGTAATCTTAATACACCATCTAAGGTTCGGAGTCAAGTATGGGACAGACAAAACAGCTTAGAGGCAACACAACTGAAAACACATCACTATAATGGGAGATCAACCTCGCTCCTGCTTCTGCTACTATGAGGTTAGGTTTCTCGTAGACTTTATTCAAACGTTAGACTATATTGAACTACCAGTATATTAATAAGAACAAGACAATGGTTCTCAAGGAAGAAGAATTCATTGTAACACAACATGTGAGAACCTCCATTGAACTACAAGTATATTAATACACTCAAGCACTTCAAAGTTTGTGATAGTTACCAAGTAAAGCATTGGCAAGGCTGTTGTTCTCCAAGTATTCATATACCAAAATTCTATTTCTCCCTTCAACACAACAACCGATCAGCTTAACAAGATTGGGGTGCAAGGTGTTTGAAATCGTATTAATTTCAGTCAAGAATTCATTAGTCCCTTGCTTAGATTCAGCAGAAAGACATTTGATAGCAACACAAGTTCCATCCTTTAAAGCCCCCTGCACATATATAGTAGTGGGGTAGGATGAAAAATATCTGAAGTAAAACACAAGTGTTAATGCCATCTGGGGTCCTCTTGAATATAGTGATTTTGTCATATTTAATCTTAAATTTTCAAGTTAACCACCCATGGTCCTTCAACTTTCAAATTTTAACCAGTCCTTGTCCTTCTACAGTTGGTTAAAATTTGAAAGTTTAAGGACAATAAGTGATTAACTTGAAAGTTGAAGAACTTAGTTAAAATTTGAAAGTTTAAGACTAAGGCTCTGTTTAGTAAAGTGGCTGTTAGCTGGTAGCTATTAACTGTTAGCTGATTGTGTTAATTAGAGGGTATAAATAGTTAATAACATTAGCTGATTGCAGAAAAGTGTTTGGTAAATTAGCTGTTAGCTGATAGCTGTTTGGTATAATTTCTTTTCTCAAAAAGCTAATTGAAAAAGTTGCTTAGAGTAGCTTTTTGAAATTTAGCCTTTTGGAGTTGCAAAAAGCTAATTAACCAAACATTTATATTGATATTTTAACTAAATCAAACAATTAATAATGGTCAAATAAGCCAAAATTGGCCTATAAGTCAATTTTTTACCAAACAGGGCCTAAACATTACAAAATCAGTATAATTGTAGGACCCGAGATGGCATTAACTCTAAAACACAAACATAAACTAAAGGCAAGAATGAAGACAAGGTGACATTAGTCTTACCCTGTAGACAACTCCAAAACCACCAACTCCTATTCTGTTTGATGGATGGAAATGTTTTGTTGCTAATCTAATGGCGTTATAGGAGAACAGTCTTGCGTTGTTGGTTTCAAGCTCTGGTTTTTCCAGAAAAGGTAAAAACAGAAAAAACAAATATCAGAGGGCACAATTCAGACCATCTCATTCAAGACACTAAACTCCATATATTCTTTATCAGTTTCAAGTAGGAATTTGAAACTAAAGTGAGAAGAAAGATGGGAGCAAGAAAAACAGCACAAAAAACATTCTGGGTACCTTGTTTCCTCATCCCTCTACGATCTTTACAAGATCCAAAAGCACCAAAGCAGCTGAAACCCATTGCTCCATGAAACAAACACGACACTTACTCCAACAAAGTTGAATAAAACATCAAAGAAACTCTGCTCTGCTCTGTTATAAAGCTAGCGCAAATTCAATCTAAAAGTTCAGTAAATTAGACATAGGAGTAATAGAAACGTGGATACTTATTCAGATACAGATACAGCAATATTGAGTTATCTGCGCTATGGGTAAAACCCGTTTTATAGCAATGCTAACGCGTCGCTTGCGCACTGAGGTTGGTTGGCATTAATAGGGTATGGAGATCGAGAAAGTACGCTGCCAAGTCCATATCACTATATCAGAGTTCAGACTATGTTGCATTTATAATGTTTATAAAATATTACTCCGTATAATTTTGAGTTAATACCCCCCCGAGTGCAAGCTGTGGTTATTGGAGTTTTAAATGACCTCCAATGAACTTTCATGTTTTTAAAAATAATCACCCGTGGTCTTTTTAGGACGTTTCGTGTCATTTTAAACTCGAGTTTCTAAAAAAAATTTAGGACCACGGATGGTTATTTTTTAAAACATGAAAGACCATTGGAGTTAATTTAAAACTCGGATGACCACAGCTGGTGAATTGTTAATACTCGGAGGACCATTGGAGGTATTAACTCTTATAATTTTCCATAGAGTTTGTTGCACAAGTCTTCTTGGTGTGATATACTTTGGAAAAATATTAAGTCCCTAAACTTTATTCGAAAAATTAATTAGACTTTTAAACTTTCAAAACTTACAATTAAACTCATAAACATATTATTTTAAAGCATTGAAGTCCAAAAATTGTTTGGTGACCTGTAATTGCAGGTCATTAGGGTTCCGACAACCCTCTGATAAGTCAACTAGTTTGCCTTCTTCAGTCGCCGAAGAAGGCGACAAGTTTGGTTGTTTTCTCCAAACGTGACCAGCGACTGTTAGATGGTTGCTGATTGTCGATCGCAGTTGTTTGACCCCAAAATCTCGCCAGAAGGTTGCCGTAACCCTAATGACATGCAACTATAGGTCACCAAAAGGTTTTTGGGCTTTAATGCTCCAAAATAACATGTTTATAGGTTTAATTGCAACTTTTGAAAGTTTAAGGACCTAATTGACTTTTCAAGTAAAGTTCAAGAGCCTATTTGACCATTTTTCCTTTACTTTTTCTTTATGTGATTTTTAGGTATTACATTTTGCATTGATCACCCTTAAGTAGTGACTCTAGTTTCTCTAGTCATAACAAAATATTACTCTCTTTGTCCTATTTTACATGTCATATTTAGTATTGATTGGTCAAACCAACTCTTTCTTCTTTGTTTATTTTCATTATTATTTTTGTGTTTAATAGTACTTTTTTAATATAGTTTCTAAATATATAAATTTTATATACTAATACTAAATTTAATATTATGAAAAATTGAATTAAAAATAAATTCAATCAAGCATCATTAACTGGACCAGACATATAAAATGAGACAAAGGAAATATAATTCATTGTGAATTACTTAGTTTTATCTCGAATTAATTAAATAAAAATAGCTATACATAATTATATTTAAGGCAAATTCTGCTATGAGACCATCTCATAGATCCTCATTCTTGAGATGAGTCAGTTTTTTTTTTTTTTTTTTTTTTTTTTTTTTTTTTTTTTTTTTACGTATTACATTTTTCCATATAAATATTGTAATTTTTATTATAAGTAACTTTTCAATTCTTAATATTATATTTTGATTTAAAAGTATTATACTTTTTTTATAATTAACAATTAAACAATTTATTCATTATTAGTATTATACTTTTTCTCATAAGTAACTATTCAACCTTAAATATTACATTTTAATTTAAAAGTATTACATTTTTACTATAAAATATAATATTTTTTCTTATAAATAACAAATAATTTATTCTTAATTAATATTACATTTTTCAATATAAATATTATATTTTCATCATTTTAGATGTAAACCACGAGGTGGTCCAGATCTTTCTCTGTCCGTTTAATGGTCCAGGTCCACCCGAGAGGCTGGGAGCTGGTCCGATGGGAATCGTCACTTGTGGAAATCAAACCCGAGTTATCCCAAAATTCTCCCTCACAAAAAGAGCTCATTTACCATTTGAGCTACCACCCCGGGTTATTATATTTTCATCATGACCCGTCTTGTTTCACATATACTCACCCTATATTTAAAATATGAATACGGTGATTCTTTTCTATGATGCAGAATTTAGATTTTTTTCTTTGTGTGCACCGGCATTTGGCCCTGTCTACTAATCCATTGAGTCACTGTGATTTACATCCTCTTACATGCTCTGTCAGGTCAGAATGTGGAGACCCTTTGAGTTGGGGATTCAGCCTTTTGGGGTAAGAATTTAGATTTTCAAGGGGGTGACCACAGTCCACAGCACAACACCTAAGACTGGAAAACAAGCTAAGGTTTGACCAGGTCGAAAAATGTTGTTTCTTCGCCAACAACATTCATGCATTCATTCCTCTGCCTCTTGAAATGGTCAACATGTTGCCATCACGTTCTAGAGACGTGCCTCATTTTTGACGATCCAACTTTTGACTGCACAGTTATTATTATTATTTTTGTTTGTTTCACATGAGAATGTTTATTAATTACGGAGCATCATTTATGAACCTATTATATAGTATTTAAGAATCACTACCCAATTATACATATACTAAAAATAATTAAGAAGTGTAGAAAAGGCTTTAGACAATAAACATAAAAGTGGCTCTATAATGGTGATTAAAATATTAGGCATTCTGAGTTCAATAAAGATCCTCATCATCATTTGTTACCATAGGGTGGGCATTTCAATTTTCGGATCAGTTTTTTCCATTTTAAAAAATAAAACCATTCAATTTAACATTATATTGTAGTTTGATTCGATTTGAAAAAGCTCAGTTTCGGCTCAGATTTGGTTCGGTTCGGTTTGTGCCCCATGCACACAATCAAGTGATCAACACCTACACACAATAAATAATTAAGAGCCTTAATTGGAATGTAGATTACAGAGGAGAAGCCAAAAATATAATGTTGGCCACCTTTAAAGGGTTTCGTTACTCTCTCTCACAATTCAACATACACATTTCTATGAAATTAGGTGTGATGTTAAAGAATGAAGAGAAAATTAGAAGACCTAACCTAAGTCCATGCGTACTGTCTGACATTTTCTATTATTTAGAGGACAATATGATTTTAAACTTTTTAATTTGGTTCAGTTTGGTTTTTAACCGAACCGTTCGGTTCCTCTATAACACGAACCGATCGATACTTCGATTTTATACCGAACCGTTATGCCCATGCCTAATTAATCTGCAGGTCGTTAAAAATGCAATACACCGAATGTATTACAATAAATCACATGAGGGAGTGATTCATCACTTTTGAAGTTTTACCTGACATGAACATAATTAGTCTCAGTATGTGTTTGTTAGCCGTTAACCGACTTGCTGAGAACACGTGGTTTAATCCAAAAAAACAAATGCAATGTCTACTGAATTATATAAGAGTCAATATGTTAAGGTTTTAATGGGAATACAAATGATAAAGATCAAATAAGCCCTTGAACTATTTATAAAAGTGCAATTAAGCCCTCAAACTAAAAAAAAAAGTTTCAATTAGGCACTTGAAATTAGGAAAAGAAAGTACAATTAACCGTATTTGACATGTGAATCTGTGATTATATTACAAGTAACCTTCAATAATCAATACTGCCGCCATATGATTGTGTCTTTGAGGATGTGGAACTTGATAGCTTTTTGGGTGAGTAATCTTCAATTTCCGACGAGGGTGAAAGCAAAGCATGGTACTTGTTCACTTCTATCACATCTATCTTCGTCGCCCAACTCAAGTACTCCTCCTTCCTCCTCCTCGATCAGCAAGTTAACCTTTAACGATACCATGCATGCATACCTTTCTTCCAGCGAAACACTACAGTAGAGCTACGCTAGACGAAGCCATCCCATGCAATGGGAGAAACACAACGAAACCACTATGACTATAATGTGCAGTGCCACCGGAATACAGGCCGGGATCGAAAGAAGGAATGGGACACCAAATGATTGTGATGAGACATATCAAAACTAGAGCCTAGCTCGCTTGTTACCAGAACAAGAGGGCGACAACTTGCATTGTCACATAGAACAAGAGAAAGAGTTATTGTAAATTGTTGTGTTCAAAGTCAAGATGGATGAGTTGGTCTAAGGTGTCAGTTTCAGGTATTATTGGTCTAAAAGAGTATGGGTTTAAATCCCATTCTTGACATCTTTTACAATCCAGGTACGCTGTACGTAGTCAGGTAGAGGCGAGGACACTTAGCGATGTGGAGAAGAAGGCCCCTAGCTGATCTGACGGTCTCATGGCACTCTAGCGGCTCAGGTGGGTGACTAGACTAGGCAGTCGTGTGTCCCCTGACCGAGTGCACACCCCAGAGGAGGTTAAGGCAGATTCAGCGGAGATTCTTTCATTGTTTGCCAAGTCACTTTTTTTTTTTTTTTTTTTTTTTTTTTTTTTTTTTTTTTCACATTAGGAAGGAACTGCGGCATTTTTATAAGCTTTCCAAAAATTATTTTAGTTAATTTCTTCTTTCTTGCCTTCTTCGAGGCCATAGTTCTTGTATAAATACCCTCATGGGGTCGGCAAATTATTGTGTGGACCATGGTCCACACAATGTTATGTGGACCATAATAAAATGTACATTTTTAATATACTAAATATACATTATTTTTGTACTATATGTACATTATACAATATAATGTACACTCACTACAAAAATAATGTACATTCAAAATAATGTACATCCCCTGAATATAATGTACATTATTTGTGTACTGAATGTACATTATTTTACACTATACAAAATATGGTCTATACAACTTGTGTGGACCATGGTCCACACAATAATGATTGCATGGGGTCACATTGTAGAGGATCCAAATTTCAAGACACAAATCGTTACCCTGTCTCACTTTTTACTACAAATATTCCTTTGTTACTTAGTATTTTACGATAGTGTTGGCGTATTGTTCGGCTGCCCTAAGCCGCAAAACCAACAATATGCTTTTCTTTAATGTAGAATTAGATGTCTACAATGACTTTATCCCAAAAAAAATCATTATCAAAGAATTAAAAAAAGAGATATAATTTCATTACTTATATTGTCTTTATTTTCTACCATGTAGAGATTCCTTATTTAATTTAAAATTAGATATCTACAATGCCTTTATTAAAAA